CTTTTCCTGTCCCTCCCTCTCAGATCTTTCTCTATTCCATCACAAAATGAATACAAATACTGAATATATAGTAATTGTATTCAACTTTTCTCCACCATTTGTCTTCCCAATAGAAAACAAATGTTGAACTTGGCTACTATCCCACTTCTATTTGAAATGTCATTGTCAGGAAATATCTCACAAAGCCAGGTATGTGTTGTTTAGAGTCACTGGATGGGCTACAATATGAAAAGTAGATTTAAGAGAACACACACAAGGCATTTTACAGAGGAAGTAGTGGAAAGTAGAATGGACTTTTAGTTGAGGTGGAAGCATGAAATGATATTAATGCATTTAAGCAAAGAATGAATTGCTAAATGGCTTTCAATAAATTCATAGAGCATTAGGTTTCTGCTTGCAAAAAGTTGTCAATTTCTGCAACTTTTGAGAGGTTAAGGAAGAATTTTGCTTACCCCCACCATTTAATGTATGGTACCTTTTTTAAAGAAAGAATAGAGATTCAACTTGATATTTTTCATATCTGTTTATGTTAAAAGTATCAAACAATATAAAAAGGTGGTAAAGGTATCTTCAAAGTATTCTAGGCAAGAAGGGCACATGGCATACCGGTTACTATCCTAACCAACTATGTTGGCAGTAGAATATAGGATAACAAAAATGGGGCTGCTCCTACTTTCTTTGAAAATTCCTACTGAAATCGCTGAAAGATTTGGTGGTAAAAAAGACTTCATATTAGACTCTTAAACTCTTTTTTTTTCTACAAAAGGACCTTCCAGCAGGTTATTTTTAAAATGTCTGAGGCTTGCTATTCAGAATTTTAGCTTTGTTCACCTTGATTTATAAGAGATATTTGTATAAATATGTGATCAAAGTAGTATTAAATGACTGGTCATATTCTTGAGATTAAAGTGCATTTTTGGTTACCTAACTAAAAATGAATTAGACTATTAAACATTCATTAGATATGTTAAGCTTCAAAAAGTAAGCGTATGTAGGACATCATAAATTTTAAGGTACTGCCTTACATAAGAAAGTAAAACATTCTTTTTTAATTTTAATTTTAATTTATAAACATAGGCCCTGATCTTAAAATTGCTTAAGTATGCAAATAGCTTGACTGATGTGAGGAGTCACCACTTGGAAAGCAAGTACTACTGTAGAAAAGGCCAGAGGCTTGTTTTACTGTGATTTACATAGAAATCTGATTACCCTTACTACTTCTCCTTATAATGAGCAAAATATGCTCCTCTTCACCAATTAAACAGTAGTCTGTGTAACAGACAATTCAGATCTATCACACTGACAACTCAGATGTGTCAAGAAATTTAGCATAGTTATGAGACAACAAAAATCTATATCAGACATTTTCATGATCAACTAGAAAAAGCTGGAAAACAGTTTAATAATTTTCTAGATTTTATTTAGCTTGACAAATTGACTGTTAGCCCTTCAATGTGCAGATGTTTATCTGCATAAATAACGTACAGTGAGAGGACAGGAGCTCCTAAACACAACAAAGGCTAGGTGCACAGTAACTATAGCTTCTTGATTGGTGCAAAATAATAGAGACTATAAGTTAATTTTCTTCCAACCTTGCAAAGCAGCTCAGTTGAAACATTTTCATAATGAATTGCTTTTGAATTATTCTTCTCATCAACTTTCTGCAGTTGTTGTAGCTCTTGCTTTAACTGCGTGTTCTTACATGTGGGAGGAGTGGAAAAGGGTATGAGGTGACACTTCAAGGGGACTGATCAGTGATAATTAATTACCTACCTTTTTATCTTTATTATCATATTTCAAAGGTAGCCTCCCTCCCCCCATCTCTACCCCCCACCTGTAGCAAAGTATTTGGGATGCCTTATAGGATATTGTACTGGGAAAGAGATTAGTTAGAGCAGATTCAACTCCAGTTGTTTTAATAAGCCCCTTAGTCATTTGCCTCAGACAATGGCAGTCACAAGATCATAATTAAGGTTTCCAGCTCTTGGAAAATGTGCTCTGTGTTAGCAAAGCAAGAGGCTGAAAGGTACAGTATGTTGTAACATTATCACATCAAAAGGAGTCTATTGTTCATTTCTGATCTTGGAAGTTGCTCTGTAATTGGCTCTGACAAACAGAGTGTGTGTGTACGGGAGGGGGGAAATGTACTTACTGCTGGAATTGTCATTCATTGGATGGAGCAAGTTTAAGTTAGCATATGTAAGTGAAGGACTACAATGGGATGTACTTCTTGAGTTACAACATGTGTCAAACACCAGTCAGAAATCATCTAGATAATACATAGTGCTACCATGAGGACAGAGGACTGGCCTAACTGACTTCTTGGGGTCTGTTTCAGTCCTCTGAATTCTAAGGCCTAGTACGGTTACAGTTGTATGGTTACAGTTCCTAGTGGACCCAACTGCTGGGTCAGCAAAGTTTGAGCAGGGTATAGTCACTGCTTCTAGCTGTGGGTCTGTAGGGCACACTCCTAGGCTCAGACCTTTTATCTGAGTCCATCTTTGGAACTCCCTCGACCAACAGTCCTAGTTCCTGAAAGCAGTGCCTCAGACCTCACTCACTGCCCCTCCTCCCACATCAGTGGCACACACTCTGCCAGAATTCCACTTAAGCTGTGGAGTTCTAGTTTGTTCTGTTTGGGACAGTGTGGCAGGAAAGGAAATAGCAAAGGAATTTAACCACAACAACTTTACTCTTGAAAGTCTTCAAGTGTTACAGATTTTTGAAAATAGAAAGAAGTCCTGTGAAATGCTCCCCTTCCTGCATTTTGGGCTCACATCTTCAGCTAGTCCAAGATCCGTCAGTGCTCAAGCTGAGCAGAGCCCCTTCTGTCTTCCCTCTCAGACGTTTCCATTTTAGATGTGGCAGTGGTTGGTCCTCGCTAGTCTGTACAGCTGCTCTGAAAATGGCAACTGAAACAGGATACTGGGCTAGATGGCGCATTGGTCTGAAACAGGTTAGCTGTCCTTTTGTTCAGCTTTTTGTCCAAAATCTCAACCTGGCAACTGAAGACCAGAAATTTGTATGCACAAGGTGCGTGAGGTTTTTGCTCTTTCCCAGGCTTGCTCTGCTATTCTTGCCACCTCCTTCCCTGAGTCCTGGTATTGGTGGAGGAGGGAAAACCAAGACAGACACACTCACACCAGCATCTGCACATGCTCTCATCCACCGAAGTGTTGGGAATGGAGAGCTGCAGTGGTAGCAAGGAGCTGCAGCTCTCAAAGAGCTAAGGGTTTTGTGGGAGGGTGTTTGGAAGCGAGGTGGACAGGAGAAGCTGGCAGCATGTTCAGAGGGAGAAAGTCATCACACAGTAAATGTAGAAGCTGAGACTATCTGACCCTTCCCAGTTGAGGGAAAATCAGTCAACTAAGGATGAATATAAGCAAACACACGTATGCTGAGGCAAGATTAGAAAGACAAAGGCACAAAGTGAGCACAGTCTAGCTAGAGACACAATGGGAAACAAGAAGACATTCTATAAATGTATTAGAAGGAAGAGGAAGACCAAGGACAGGGTAGGCCCATTGCTCAGTGAGGGGGAGAAACAATAACACGAAACTTGGAAATGGCAGAGTGGAATGAGGAGTAACGGTAGTTCAAACTAGGAAGCCTAGTTCGAACTACCTAGTTCGTGCTGCGTGTAGCTGCGCGGCACGGGGTTCGAACGAGCGGGGATTTAAAAATGGTGGCGCCTCGCTTATGCAAATGAAGCCCGGGAAATTCAAATCCCGGGCTTCATTTGCAATTGCGGTATGCCTACATTACCCCGCTAGTTCGAACTAGCGGGGTAGTGTAGACATACCCCTATTGACTTCAGTGAATGTTGGATCAAGCCCTTCAAAGCTAGCCAGGAATAGACCCAGAGCACAGCTGCATAAGCATCTGAAATTGCTCTTTCTGACTGAGGCTACGTCTAGACAGCACTGCGTCCAAGCAATGCATCTGCTTTTTCCAAAAAATGTTTGGAAAAAGCAGACGTGCTCTTTCACCATCCCTGTAAAGCTCATTTTGTGGGGAATAAGATATGTGTCGAAAGAGCCCTTTTTCCGAAATTTGGCCCCATGTAGACACACCAAATTTCAGAAAAGCATCTTTCGACAGTAAAGCAGAAAAAGATACGCAATTTGTGTAGTGCAAATTGCGGGTTTTTTTCCAATTTACCCTGGCAGCTTGAGAGAGCTGAAATGCTAAGATGAAGAGTTCAGAAATCTGAAGACAAAACAAAATAATCCCCGAGAGAGATTTCCATATTGAAATGCAAATTCTATTTCATAGTCCATACAGAAAAAAGCAAATACTGTGGTGGTGTTAAAAATGGTACTTTTTCTTGAAATGTCATAGAAGTCATAGAAGGACTGATGCTGAGCTCTCTAGTTCCCACTTGAAAAAATGTTATGTGAGGCTTACCTATGTCATCACCTCAACTCGATCCTGGATATATTATAAAGATGTTATATCACATGGAATATATGTTTGCCTATGGCACCTTATCTTAAGAGAGAGAGAGAGAGAGAGAGAGAGAGCACACAAATGTAAGGGATGCAGATGGGGGTAACAGAAAACATTTAAAGACGTGGAGTAAATTCCATTTGAGGTGTGTTTGGAAAGACCAACACTGCTTACAAAGAAGATAAAGTGAGAAGTGATAGAAGATATAATAAGTAACAAAATATAGAGAAGGTAAATCAGGTACTCCCATTTATTCTCTTAGGTTATGTCTACACTAGCTCGTTAGTTCGAGCTAGGTAGGCAAATGAGGGCAACCGGGGTTGCAAATGAAGCCCGGGATTTAAATATCCCAGGCTTCATTTGCATGTTCCCGGGTGCCGCCATTTTTAAATCCCCCTTAGTCCGAACTCTGTGCCCGCAGCTACACGCGGCACGGAGTAGGTAGTTCGAATTAGGATCTCTAATTCCAAATACCATTACTCCTCGTGGGGGGCTGGGCTTCACCCACTGTGTCCCCACAAATAACTGACCACTTCTCTTGTTTCCTACAGCCACAGCAGCTGTGAGTGCATGGGTGCACCACCCCGTCCAGGACATCTTCCTGCACCTGGGCCAGCAGGCTGACCCATAACCAGGAGGAGTACCAGCGGCAGCACCTGGGGATCCTGCGAGGCCAGCACCACACCCTGGACTACTGGGTGCATGAAGACCTGCAGCTCTGGCGGGAGAGCTGGCAGGAGCTGCTTGTCCAGAGCCTCGCCATGTGCGACCACCTGCAGACCCTGGTACACAGATTGGTGCCTCCTGCCACTCCAGCCTCTGCTGCCTCCCCAGCTACTGCTCCTCCTCTAACTCCTACTCTCCCTCCCACTTCTTCTTCCGTACCCTCTCCCCCGGGGATGCCGAGGGCCCCACACCTGCAGTGCTAGGAGACAGGTAGGCTGGCAAGACCCCTAACTCTGAGCTTCTTCTCCCCCTTCCTCCCCTTGCCTCCCCCTGCCAGCTCCCTCCTCCCAGATTTACCCCTCTCCCTCCCATCCTGCGGCTTCCTCTCTCCCACCTTCCTTTCCCCCCAACCCAATTTTGTTCAATAAAGAGAGTTTGTTTTCTTCAACATGTGTCTTTATTTTACATCGGGAAGGGGGGTTAGTGAGGGGTAACTGAAAGGACATGAGGGTGGAATGAGGCACAAGCCCCCAGTGAGGCACACCAGGAAGACTTTAGACCTCCATCTGGAAGCTCTACTGCAGGGCCTCCCAGATACGGACAGTCCCCTGTTGGGCCTCCTGGCTGGCAGACTTGTGGGGCTGTGTGTACAGGCTGGCCAAGTGGTTGGCCTCTGCCATCCAGACTGGCAGGAAAGCCTCCCCCTTCCTCTCACACAAATTGTGCAGCACACAGCACGTTGCCACCATGTGTGGAATATTCCGCTCGGAGAGGTCCAGGCGGGTGAGGAGGCATCTAAAATGGTCCTTCACCTGGCCGAAGGCCCCCTCGACCACAATGCTTAGCATTAAAGGCCTGTTGGGAGGGGTTGAGGTGTCCTGTGTAGGGCTTCATGAGCCAGAGTTGTAGGGGATAGGCGGCATCCCCCATCAGGCACTCAGGCATGTCGATGTCCCCAGACCTGCTGTGGCAGTCGGGGAAGAAAGGATGATGGAGAAGTATCCCTTCTGATTAATGTAAAGGGAGGCCTGGTGTTCCGGGGCACGGATGGGGATGTGCGTCCCATCCATTGCCCCCCGTAATTTGAGAAGCCCAGGCCGCCAAACCCCTCAATCACCTCAGTGAGGCAGATGACTCTGTTGATGGCCTTGATCACCTGCAGAGGGACACACAAAACCAAGAGTCACTGAGGTGCCAGGGCTGACAGTGCCCCCTCCCCACCACTGCCCCACTTCCCTACTCCCCCATCCTGCCACCCCCCCCCCCGCCACCCTGGC